GTAAGCTCTTTACACTAAGCCGGTACCTACAAACTTTAACATGCGGAGCCCCGGGTTCCGGGTACTTAAATTGCTCTCGACGGCTCTGATTGTGAGTAAACGATATTTTTTACCAAACTCTGTCGTGTGTACTGTGAATTGAAGATTAACTTTGGGTTTTGACGTTGATAGCTACCTACCTACCTAGCTACAAAAATTGTTAATGAATTAATCATGTGAAATGTGGACTGTCGTCCGTCCCCATATTAGTTTACAGTCTGAGACATTAAGCAACGAGTACAGTAAAATCCGGTCCTGACTCCTGACTGTATACTGGTACACAGCCTATGAAGCATAAAAAAAAATTAAAAAATCAAATCCACGTATAATTTAAGGAAAAAATGTAGTAATAGAAGCGAATACCTACACAATGAGCCATATTAAAAAAAGTTGCATCGTCATACTAAATAAATGCCATAAGACGAGTTAATTTGCTATGCCTTGCCTCCTACTGTTTAATTTAAGCGTATTTATAAAGTGCACAACCTCTACCCAGCTGTAGTGTAATATACTTGCCTTTTGAATTTTAAGGCAATTCGAATATTAAAAATCACTATAATGTGACGCATTAACAACGGACCAAAAATAATCGTTTGCCGATGTTTAATTTGAATAGAAGTTTAATAACTGACGGGACGTAACCCACAATTACGAACAGTAGCACTTGACAGGCTGTTGTGATATATTGGACCTTTTTTACCCTCTATGACCCCCAATCAAAGCCAGTTGCGAGACGAGAAGATATTACCAAAACTCACTCGACCATTACTAACAGTACCGGTTTATAAAGCAGCTACATAATTAATACTAAAAGAGTTAATTAAAATCTGGTCTTAATAAGAATTATACCGTATTTGCATTTCGTTAAGTGCCACCGGAAGTACGCACTTGATGAAGTTGTACCTGGGACTGGAGAGATACAATAAAGTAAGTAGGCAACTTGATGCACCGAAAAATGTATTTGGGTACCGATATTGACAAAAATGAATAACCAATCGACATCAGTTGTCCTCAACCTTGAATTTCTAATTTTAAAAAAATCGAGAATAAATTTCATCACCACGCAAAGCATTAAATTTCGTTTATTTCTCCTAAAATTATTTTTAATGAAAAATAATAGCCTCACATTTTAAAAATAGAATTTATTATGGATTATATAAAAATAGGCAGGTAGGTATATCGAAAATCGAAATAGCCTCATGGAAACAAGCTGTATAGTAATCGCAACAGTGCGAGTGGATTGTCCTCACACAAAGTGTAATAAAAACTTAAGTATTATTAGAGATATCTGATCATTTGGATAAAATTTGCATGGACACAGTGTAGTGCTGAGATCTCAGACACTCAGACAGTCGTTTTGTTTGCTAACGCCAATTACTAAACAATATTGTGTACTAAGTGCCATTTGTTTGATTAGTTAAACATGAAACTTTAAGCAAACAGATTCAACGCGGAATGTTTTAATAATAACGTAAATATGGATCAATTTCCGATAGGAGTCTACCGAAAACCTGAACATAAAGATGCTGCTACAATCTACTTCAATTGATCCAATATCGAATATTCTAGAATCTAGCTAGATCATTAAATTTCATACGGCTTGGTGTACACTACAGCAAAATAGACGAAAAATACAACTGCGGTAGCAGGCATAATTTTAGTTTACCTATATCACTTTGTGTAAGTTTTTGAGACCCACTAGATACGTGGCAGATAGTTTCGTGGAGGATTGCTACCGCATAACGTGCGAATCATAAAACTGTTCAAGAAGTAGGTGACATTTTTTCCAATTTCCGTATGTGGCGTTTGATGAACATTAGATTTGTTTCCTTGCAGATATTAGGGAAAGTTAGGATTTCATCTTAGATTGAAGGCTTTTGTAAAGAATTTTGGCACATGTTTACGAACCCAATAAATTTTGAATTTCTTATTAATTTGGGCAAGCTGAATGGTTCATTGTACAATAAAGATGTTAAAAAATGACTGCGACAATAATAATGTTAAAAAATGTTATGTTAAACTTAAGTTTAACAGAGAATTGCAGAGAATTTTTCTTCGGACGGCTTTTAAAATAATGTTTATGTATAAAGAGCCCTCTCCCCGTTAGTCGTCTACCAAGAAGGTAATCATCAATAAATTTCATATTCCACTACCTTATAACCCAATAATTGACTAACCAATTTCGGTTTAAGCGCTTCATCTGCATAAGATTTATATGTACCTGTGTTATAATTAGCCGGAGATTATGTTTTAAAATAAAAATTCATCATTATAGTGTATACCCCCAGGTTTTACGCTAGCTTCGCACAACAATGACACCGAAACAAAATCAACCTGATAACGTTTAAAAATGTCAATCGGAATGGCTACTCTCTCCAAAATCTAACAGGATCCCGCTTAAATTTGAAACCGGAAAATTTCACAGGATCGAACACCAAGGCAGGACCCTCTTAATACTTTCTAAAATAATTTCTTACACCATGTTTTAAGGTTCCCATTGTACTTCCCTAGGGGATTTTTACTAAGATTTGCAAGGTAAGTTTCCAGGAGACTTGCGAGATGATCGGGAAATTTTGAATTTTAATTGCAACCCATTTTCCGCTTGTATTTATAAAAATTAATTTTGACTTACGACTGAATGAACAATTCATACCATGGAGTTTTTTCCTGTCTATTTTTTCTGTTAATCCACCATTAATATATAATAATAATAAATTATTTTGCAGAAAATGAAATACATACATTTGACGCAAGTATTGTCAATACATATCAGCCAAAGTGCTGGGATTAACCGAATTCCTATAAGGTAACTGTATTTATTATATTATGCAGCTGGAAATGCAACTTAACTTAAATGATCTCATAATGAGCCGGTGAATTGTTATTTGGTCGATTAAATTCAGAAAAAGAAGTAATTTTTGGCAATAATGTTATTGGTTTCCAAATATCCCTCAGTTTGATATGCTGCTGTATAATTTATTGAGACAGTAACCGCAGTAATCGAGGAAATTTGCACGTTTAATCAGAAAAATATTAAGCTTCGTTGTAAGAGTAACCCATCGAAGTCGGTCCAATATCAATGTGCAAGAAGAATGCAATAAATGCACAATGTGAATAATATTTTTTTTATTTTTACTTAATAGCTTATATTTTTGATTACCTAGTTAGTATAGCACATACTGTCTTGCACTTGCGACATTCTAACAATAATAGCGCCTAGAAGACAGGCAACGAATCTGACACCTATGCTTTATTTAAATCGCAACCAGCGCTGTAAACCGTTCGTTATTCAATGATCAAACTCAAAAATATTCCCATAATGGAATTGAATCAAAAACCTGTTTCTGTGAAGCAACACAACTTCACACGGTTCCTCATTTCTAAAAAATAGTTATTTGTTTCATTAGTACAAAAAATGTCAGTTTTCGGGACGAGGAAGATAGTTGCTGGACGACGCGTTAGCGGAGTCCAGCAACCTTCCGAGTCCCGAAAACGCATTTTTTGTACGAATAAAACATAACATTTTTTCTCCAAACCCCTTTACTTCAAATTGTATTCGAATTTAGATTCAGTCACAGTTTCACTACTAGTATAAGAACTTCTGCTTTCTTGTCCTCACGTGTCATGCCACTCTAGTTTTTAGGTTAACTTATAACCTATTCGTTCTGACTTCTTACTTCTCACCTCTCGCGACTTTGTAGGGAGCAAATCTTGAGGTAGCATGTTCTGCCGTTTCTATAATCTCTGGCGGAGTGCAATCCATGTCGCTATCAGTTTCAGTCATTTTATTGTATACACAATTAATATTGTTATATTTTGTATTGAAATAAAAAACTTACCGTACAGTTTTTTAATTAAAATTAATTGCAATTAACTTTTTCAAATTTTGAATTCAAAATGACAGATAAATAGTGCAATGGGTCTGAAGTAGATGGCGTTACGCGCGACGGCGTATTAAAATTACGTTCATCGAATATGTAAATTACGTTACACATGGTTTAAATAAAAATAGCGAGCGTAAATCATTTTCAATACATGTACATACGTATAGGTGACATCATTATTTGCATTGAATATGCAAAAAGATTTGATTTGTATGTATAGAAATATCTTATAACCTGCAATGTAAAACGATGTCAATGTGACATATCTCCGTGATTGTAATTTTTTAATTGGCCAACTTTCAAGGTCAATTTCTTTTTGGTACTAGGACCAAAAGTATCTACTTTTGTACAGTTGCCATGGTGAAAGCGATTAATCCGCAAAACGTCAATTTTACGTACCGAACACTGTCACAAAATAGCGTCTTATTCAGGTGGTTGGAGAAAAAATCATTTTTTATCAGTTCCTATTGCACCCACAATAGATAGGTTTATAAAAAAATCCTCATATTCAGCCTTAAAAATCGAAATCTTAAAAACAGTCCAAAATAAAAAAAATTTAATTTTTTACTTGCGGTTCTGGGTACATCCACATTCACAATAGTTGTACACTGTACAGTACTAAACAATTCGAATTGCGATGTTGACCTAGTGCTGAACCTCAGTTGAAAAAACAATAAGGGTTATTTGCACCTTCAAAGGATTAAGTTCTAAATAAATTATAACTGGTTAAGTTACGTTCGATTACCTGAAATAGTCGCAATCCATAAATGAGGTATTATAAGGTCCTAACTTCACAGCACCACATTTAAAAAAAACCTACGATGCACATATTTTTGATAGCTGGCAACCGCGCGGATTTTTAGAAGAGGGGGTCAAAAACAAGAATTTTTCCAAAATAACTTGCCCATTTCTGGTGGTTGTAGACATACTTGCCTGCATCATAGAGGAAATACAATTCCTCTATACCTGCATACAATTTGAAATGGCCAAAGAAATAAATCAAACAATATCATGCGCATCCTATTCATCAATATAGGTACATCCTGTCCTGGTGTGTCCTTTTTTGTCTTAATTATATTCATACTCAAATGTTTAGAAATACATTAATTTATTTATAATTTTTTTATATACAATACCTTTCTCAATTTAAATTAAAAAGATCCAGTAATGAGGTGAGGTATCAATCCGGTTACAATTCATAATGTTTCTGTATTAGCCTTTACATTTTAGGAAACTGTGCCGTGTCCACACCATCAGTACCTAACTAGATGAACCTCCAAATATATCAGTTAGGTAGTTCTAAAAATTGATATTTTTCTACCCCATGAAGTGTTAATGGTTTCTGTAACTTTTGCCACTCCCTCTACCTCTAATAAAACCTGGTCAATTTTGCACTCAATATTACTTCTGTCTTTCAAATGCTTGTAGTGCGCAAATTCGCTATTTGCCAATTTCATCCTCTTAACAGCCGATTTGTAACATTTCCAAGGTTGAGGTTCCACCACAACCATTGCACTGTCTTTGCAAATCTCTTTTAGAAATGTTTGTAAACCTACATCCCCGTAATTTAAATGAATCCACATGGTGATGGAAAAGCAAAAACAGGCACTAAATTTCTTTACACTGTATTTATCTAAAAAATTAGATATCAATAGATCTTTCTCCTTAATATTCATAAAATCAAGGCACTCGTATACAATGTGAGGATTATCAGTGTTCTCTTTAGCACGTTCTATTAAGATGGGATCTATATCTACTGCTAGTATATGACACGATTTATTCACATTATTTACTATGAAGTCGTATAAAGCCACAGTTAGATCCTGCAATTACACAACATGTAAGTGGAGTTACTTAGAGAACCAACGATATACCCCAGCATTGCATCCAATGTCGAGCATCACAAAAGGTTGGGACCTATCCCAAATATCTTTAGGAAGAATTTGAATTCTTTCACTGGGAGGATGAAACTTATAGTAGTTTATAAAATTTCCAAACTGCACGGCGCCTGGATTGCCGCCACGAAAATTTAATTTATCTTCCTCATTTAATGCCGCTGATGGTCGGTGATTTAACGAGTGGCTTGCCATGTTTGTGAAACAAATCTCATGCAGGTAAGCACATTTGGCACGACAACGAAAAATGAACAGAAATTGCAGACAATTTAACATAACCTGTAAAATATATCACGTTGCGTGTTGAACATTGATTTATATACAGGATGTTAGACAAGTAAAGGCTCATCGCTCACCTCAAACTGTACTTCACCATTGATTATAGCATAGCTTATTGTACCATGATTTATAATAATAATAATAATAGATTTATTCTGCAGTGTAGGTACACAATGAAATTACATATTTTACGTAAAATAAATAACAATAACACTAGCAAAAAGGCTCAGCAATCAGTTGTGCAGGTAAGCAAACGCCTGCAGAACTGGTCTTCCCTGCCACCCAACTTACAATTATAACACAAAACAAAGAACGTGGTCAGCTCAGTTTCTAACAAAATTATTATAACTATAAGTAAATAAAACAGCAAATTATAATAATGACGTATCTCATACAACGATCGCGATGGTGTTTGATCCAAGCAATAATATCCAACATGACTTTATATATTAATGGAAAACGTAATGTTCTCCCTTAAAAATATTTTGACTTTAAGCACAGAGTCCAATGCATTCTGTGACATGAAATTAATAACCTTATAGCAAAGAGTACGTTCTCTTTCCTCTTTACTATTTCAGAGATCATTTTTACCGGATGCCAAAGTGGAAATTTGTTTTTGATACTTCTATTGTTTTGTGCATTTTTATCTGAAAATGGGATTCTTACGCTTCTTGTCCTCGTGCGCAAGTTACCTAACTATGCGAATTGTTTAAATACTTTATTTAACCAATGCTATCGGTTAGAAAAGCGCACAATTGTAGGATTCGTGACTCATTCACATCCCTTGCGTGCAAAATTACGCTTTTTTTTAAGAACGATAACCTGCAAGTGTTTCCCTTGGAATACTAAATGTCTCGACAACGGCCATACCACGTTGAAAACACCGGTTCTCGTCCGATCACCGAAGTTAAGCAACGTCGGGCGCGGTCAGTACTTGGATGGGTGACCGCTTGGGAACACCGCGTGCCGTTGTCTCTTTTTTTTTAATTTTTCGTTCTCTTTCCCCTTTACTATTTCAGAGATCATTTTTACCGAATGCCAAAGTGGAAATTAGTTTGTTTTTGATACTTCTATTGTTTTGTGCATTTTTATCTGAAAATGGGATTCTTACGCTTCTTGTCCTCGTGCGCAAGTTACCTAACTATGGGAATTGTTTAAATATATGTAATTTATTTAAACAATGCTATCGGTTAGAAAAGCGCACAATTGTAAGATTCGTGACTCATTCACATCCCTTGCGTGCAAATTTACGCTTTTTTTTTAAGAACGATACCTGCAAGTGTTTCCCTTGGAATACTAAATGTCTCGACAACGGCCATACCACGTTGAAAACACCGGTTCTCGTCCGATCACCGAAGTTAAGCAACGTCGGGCGCGGTCAGTACTTGGATGGGTGACCGCTTGGGAACACCGCGTGCCGTTGTCTCTTTTTTTTTAATTTTTCGTTCTCTTTCCCCTTTACTATTTCAGAGATCATTTTTACCGAATGCCAAAGTGGAAATTAGTTTGTTTTTGATACTTCTATTGTTTTGTGCATTTTTATCTGAAAATGGGATTCTTACGCTTCTTCTCCTCGTGCGCAAGTTACCTAACTATGGGAATTAATTGTTTAAATACTTTATTTAAACAATGCTATCGGTTAGAAAAGCGCACAATTGTAGGATTCGTGACTCATTCACATCCCTTGCGTGCAAAATTACGCTTTTTTTTAAGAACGATAAAGCCTGTCTCACAATTGACGCCAACGTGAACGCTAACGCGAACATGAGCATTTAATTAAAACATGAATATTTACTATTTCCATTCACATATAACGCAACGGGAACGTGAAAAGTTGAAAACGTGAAACAAACGCGACAGTTGGTCAACTTTTATCTTTCCCGTTCCCGTTGGCGTTTTAAACATGCGCGCGCTTGCGATCCAGCCACATAACCTTTAAAGACCAAACTTAACTATTTTTGTACGAAGTATTGCATGATTATCCGTTTGTTGAATTGAATAGAATAGTCTGTGACTACCACAGAACACATTTTAATAAACAAAATATTCCGTGACAAAACTTAACACTCCAGGAGCGTAACGTTAATTGTGAGACTGCGAATTTGTTCATGTTCACGTTACCGTTTGCGTTTCCGTTGGCGTTTACGTTTGCGTCAATTGTGAAACAAGCTTAACCTGCAAGTGTTTCCCTTGGAATACTAAATGTCTCGACAACGGCCATACCACGTTGAAAACACCGGTTCTCGTCCGATCACCGAAGTTAAGCAACGTCGGGCGCGGTCAGTACTTGGATGGGGGGTGACCGCTTGGGAACACCGCGTGCCGTTGTCTCTTTTTTTTAATTTTTCGTTCTCTTTCCACTTTACTATTTCATTGATCATTTTTACCGAATGCCAAAGTGGAAATTAGTTTGTTTTTGATCCTTCTATTGTTTTGTGTATTTTTATCTGAAAATGGGATTCTTATTCTTACGCTTCTTGTCCTCGTGCGCGAGTTGCCTAATGCTATGGGTTAGAAAAGCGCACAAATTGCAAGATTAGTGAATCATTCGCGCCCCTTGCTTGCAAATTCGTGTTCGTTTATATACCAGTATCCACAGTAGCATAGAGTAAATTATTTACTCTATGATAGTAGGTACTAGGGGAGAATAAAATTTTCAAATTTGTGTAGACTATTGACTTTACCCAGAGCCGCAAATGCGAAATATTTTTGCGGTGCCTTTCTTTCAACAATTACCGGGGGGGGGGGGGGGGGCAGTTAATATCCCTTGGGTAAGGGCTAAAAGTTGTTATAAAAGAAGTCGTCATTTTAAGTACTTTGAGTGACTATCACGGGGCGAAAGGGTAGAGATATCATGTATGTAAGCATGGTCCACTCAATGGGGGGCGCGAGGCTCGGGCTCCGTCACCCCGCCTCCGCTATCAAACGATGTTTTGCATTCTTTGCTTCGCGACTATTGGTTCGTAAAGTTTGGTAATTAATCAATAATTGAACCTATTGCCCAGGTAATCAGACTATATTTTAGGTACCTACATCTGTAAATTATTTTCACCAGGCGCGAGGCCTGGAGTGGCCGCTCCACCAAAAAAACGACTGTGACTTTAGCACAGACTGTGACTAGTCAATTGTAATACCAAGAAACCCCTCTCAACCATAATCACAGACCGCAGTAGCGTTTTTATAGATAAAAGTAACAATTAAATCATTTATTATTCGAGTGATGTTTAAAAGGTATAAATAATTAAAACAGTAGAACGCACATGCAACCTATAGGTCTAGTTCTAAGAATAAAAAAAATTTTTGGCTTTCATACATGGATTAATCGGTAGTTTTGAGCACCAATATCTTTCAAAATGTAATTACTGATATGCACATTAGATCTAAGATAGGAATGCAGTAAATTAATTTATATTCTTATGGTATTATCACAATACAAATCAAAATTTGTCTACCTACGAAGTGAGGTATTTACAAAAATATCAATCTTCTCTAAATTGTATTTACATTTGCCTATCGTAATATATATAAGTGCTATCGAAGAGCACGATACGCAAGTCCTTTCATAGTAATATCATAATTTGCTGGTAGCTAAAATTGTGAAATAGTAAGTACATATAAAACTGAAAGTATTACTTACCGGTGCACCAATTCGTGATAAATATCTATTCCTAATGTGAAAATCGGAGTTTGAGTTTAATAAATCCTGAGAGGAACTAGTGGAGCTGGCAACACCTGCCGATATCAATTTTTCACGTTCTAACGCTTGCGCAGCTCTGCAAAAGTTACCGTTATTAATATCAAAATAGCAGAAATAATATCGTACAAAACACTCTTTTGGTGCCGATCACGTTGAGCAGGTGTCATATTTAATGGACCATTTGCTGCTGTGTCAAAGAATAGCATAATTATGCTAGCCACAAGTGAAACTGGAAAATGATTGTTATTCCATTGCAAATAGACGAGGTTTATTTTACTTACTAAACAGACTGCAGATGAAGAAAACTTCAAGCCATATGTGACCATAATCGTCGACGATTTTACCAGCAAAGATTGCGCCAAGAGCAAGACCCAAATTTTGGATTGATTGACAGCTACAGGTTTAAATAAATTAGTTAAAATATAATTTTACATTAATAGGTTGCAGTAGTAAATTAATTGCATGCGTTTCTCAAATTTGTAAATACAATTAATTTTATGAAAGGTTTTATACAGGGTCCGCCATTAAAACGGGAACATTTCAGGTAGAGTTTGCAGCACGCCACAAAGTGGTGGGACAGAAAGTAGTAGACTTGCCAAGATCTGCGTGGTTTGCCATGTATTAATAACTCTCCATTATAAATGAATGGCAAATCACGCACAGGTCTTGGCACTACAGGGGTAGTTTCCTTTCCTAGAACATAGTGAGCAACCAAAGACAGGTTCATATTGGAAGTAGAGGGTAAATAGAACCTAAATCCAAATTGTCATGTAAATTGGGGAGTTGTAATTTTTTTTAACAAACAAACAAAAACAAACCAAACCATCCGACGATACAGGGTGAGTTTTTTTTCATTTTAAGCATTGGGATCTCAAAAAACCATAAGACATACAGATTCGGTTAGATGAGGAAAGAGTTGTCGAAGAGCATATTTAAGATATGCTTTTGTTTTTTGAAAAAATCCACAGTTTACCGGATATGAGCGAAAAACAGATTTAGTGATTTTTCTTTTAAATGTGTAGAATCGTTCGTATTAGAAACACAGAAATATGCAAAGAACAAAAATCGTAGATTTTTTTCTGCTTAACAAGGTACATTTATTATTTTCATTCTTCTTTTATAATTTTCGAGTTATAACTCAAACTTTTTTTAAATGGTAACCATAGTTGGCTGCAACATTTTTAAAAAGTGCATTTTTTTCTGTTTACAATTATTAAAGGTTCATTCTACTTACTTTGACAAATAAACATGATACAGAACTGTTTGTATTATTAAGAGTAGTAAAAACAGAGTTTACGGGAAACATTTTTGTTCTATTAATTACTCAGTCTATTATAATATTTAACTTAATTAAAACTTTAGGGCCACAAATATAACGACAACGAAAAGAAATTACGAGCACGAAACTGTGGATGACAACTCTTTCCTCATTTAACCGAATCTCTATGTCTGACGATTTCCGAGATCCTAATGCTTAAAACGAAAAAAAAACTCATCCTGTATAATATAACCAATAAGGAGGAACATTGTGACGGGAGCTGGTTAAAGGATGTCATTTGATTCAAGTTTTACTTAAATTTTATTGATTTTGCATGGGGACGAGTGGTCTGTTTAAATGCCTGTGAAAGCTTCTGGCGTCAAGAAGTCATGGGAGATGACGAGATAAGCTAGAACCACGGAATGATGTTATCAAGATTGCTGATTCAGTGGGATTTCACTGCACGAGTTAAATTAGTCTTTATTGGCAGAAGAAGTTGTGCGCCCAAAAATGGGAGTCTATCAAAAAGAAAAGTAGTTGTTCTGAGAGAGTTAACGTTAAATGAGCACTAAAGAAGCATGAACGCTTGCATAAAATTGGAAACAAATAACAGTTTGGTGTGAAGTTAGTCTAAATTTAAAAAAAGCATAACGTGCATAAAATAGGGGCCAAATTAGAGATTGTTTTAAATTAGGAATTATTAATTATAGGGAAACATTATTTATACTTACCTATAGATACATTACAACTTTATTTATATAGAATTCACTATTTGAAAAATGAAAAAATTCCTACTTACATTCCATAAGCAGTTCCTAGTTGATGTTCAGGAATAATTAAAGACACTAATGGCCACAAACTACTAGCTAGGAGAGAATAAGCAACTCCCATAACAACCTAGAACAATAAAGTACCGGTTGGATGAAGTGTAAAATACCAAATTTAAAGCACTAACCATGCCGATATAAGGATTCCATGTTGCGAATGCCAATACGTAATGTCCACAAATAGTTGCAATTATCGACAAAATGATCCAAAATAAATTTTTGCCAATTTTATCGACAGCAAAGCCCAAAACTGGCGATCCAACCGATGATATTAGATATATCATACTGTTCACTTTATTCGCGGCATCCGAGCTCAGACCGAATCGTTTCATAAAAAATTCCCTAGAATCATAGAAATATGCTTAATTGATTCTGCAAGTAAATATACTTACTTCCCGAATGAAATAAATACAAAAATTGCTATATAATATGAAACGCAAATAATCGAGATTAGCCAAAAGTGTAAACTAAACTCTTTAACATTTTTGAATCTAATCACTTCTTTGGGTGTATTTTCATTTCTTCTTAAGATACGTTCAGCTCTCTTATCGATGCAGCCCAAAATTATTGAGCAGATCATAGACAAGAGGCATGTTGTTGTAGCTACAAATAAAAAACTTCATTCATGTGTTAAAACACAACAAAACTGTACCAATAAATAGGACAATCCCTAGACATTTATAACCCGTATAATACTCTTTCATCCAATCGTAAACCGGTTCCATTACCCAAAAGTTAGCAGCGCTTCCGAGTCTTGCAAAACTTAGCTGCACACCGAACACCATATTAAGTTCCTTCCCTTTGAACCATAGCACGGCGTAGTTATTTTGGGCAACCGCCAAGGGTTCGGCTCCCATCCTAAAGATGACAATAAATTTTAAATAACACATAAAAGTCCGTACCCAAATATAAATCTTCCCAAAACCATCAACCAAAACACATTAAACAATGCGCCACTCGCAAAACACACCTGCCCAACGAGTGTGATCAGCATATAAATATTTGCACCTAGGCGGATGCCAAACACACTAAAACGAAAAATGTGAATACCACGCGTTTCATCCATTCTTACTAACCTGTCCACTAATATTCCTCCTACAACGCATAGCACCACAGTAGGCCATGAGTATAACGAATACAGTAACGAAAATTCTGTGTTTGTAAGATGAAGATCTTCTTTAAACGTGTTGATCAAGGATGATGGTGTGTCGAAACAGAAATATGAACCTAAAATTAATAATTTGATCATTAGTAGCATGTTCTGAGAAATTGTAGATATTCATATGATGAAAAAATCACTAGCTATAAGATCAAAACTGAAGCTCCCTCTTCATTACATGTCAAGAAATGTTTCAATACATCGCCTCCTTATAACAGTGGTAGGAATACAAATTTGTAAAGTTGTACATTGTTCTAGTGTAATTTTTTTATAATAATTATTGCAGCATTGGGTGTTGAAATATATAAGGCGCCTGGCAAAGTGTTGGTCCCACTACTCCTCAGCCAGGTCTGCATTTCTGTGTTTGGGTATTATTGGAGAAGTGTAGGACAAGTTTTCAGCGTGCCTCAAATACCTACCCAAAAATGTCTACCGCAGCTTTCCTACTATTATAAGCAGTTTACGTTTGTATTTTAGAAGGAGAGGTAGTGGCACATTTTTTTTAAACAGTTTTATTATTGTTGGTATTTGGATATAACATAGTTATCTACATCTACATTTAGTCGATTTCTACGGTTTTGAAAAACGGAAAATTATGAGTATTACAGTTGGCAATTTTTGTGATGCAACAATCATTGCAAGCGTAAGTACCAACCCATGCATTAACTTCTAGCATACCATACAATGAATTTATACGTACTTTGAACAAGAACTTCCGCTCATTCTAACTTTCACTCTTCACAGTAAATCCAAAATCCAACTCACAGAACACCACGCCGATCCAACTGCTACAACACGTGTCACTAGTTTATTTACGATCAGCTGATTGCAGTAACACAAAATCAAATTTTTGAAAGGTTGGTACGTCGTAATATACTACAAAAGTTACTAAAATTGCATGCAAGATACAGAACTTTTGGCGCAAAACACGACATTTTTCTTGCACCATAAAAATTGCAGCAAGTCGACGCAATATTCGATTTGCGCATGCGTGCAATAAAAATTGCAGCAATTTTTCTTGCCGGAAATAAAAATTGCGAACTGTAAAGTGGCCTTAATAGTATAATCAGATGCAGTATTGTTTTCTCTGAAAAAAACGTATTGAGACTTTTGCTCTATAATAATTAGGGGAGCTAGTAATTGACTATAAAGAAATTACTATTGAAATCCCTATGCTGCGTTGCGCTAGGCACCACCCTGTATGCTAATAACATATCCGGATGACCGATTTTAAAAATTCAAACAATTTTATTACTAATAATCAACCTTGCTTTATTTTATTTATATGAATGTACTGAAATGATGAATAATTATGCAAGACAATTTTTGCGGTATACAGTGCGTTCGATATAATGGGGTCGCACCTCAATATCTCTTTCATTTGGCAAGTTACGAAAAAATTGTTAAATATAATTTTATATGACATTACGATCTATCTCATCGCATATTCAAACTTCTGGTATCACTTCTGGTGTAACCGGAAATCGATGCAATGCAAGTTTTCTTTTTCAAATGCAACACCTGTATTTTTACCCAAAATCAAATAACTACCGAAACATTGTTTTAGTAATTGGTCAATAGAAGTCGTTATTGATGTAATGGGTATCCTATCCACAATGTAGCACTATCTGTATGGCTGTCTACATAGGTAGGTCGATTCACATTTTACGGAACGTCAATGTCACATCACGGACCGGCAACTTCACGTCAAAATATTGTATTATAGATTTCTTATGATAACATTCACATATAGACATAACGGAATGCACCTTCTACGTCACGAACCGTCCAGATAAGTTTCAAACGTTTCGTTGACATGCTAACTCTTCTTTTAGTCTGAGTATTATAACGACAGATGGTCCAGAATAAAAAATCCATACGCAACCAACCCAAGAATCTCTTGACGTAAAGAGTGAATTGGCCGTAAGATTTACGTGACGTTGCCGGTCCGTGACGTGTTTTTAATTCACAAAGGTATATGAAGAATTTATACGTTGATTGAATTCTTGACTGCAGACATTTTCGTTTATTTAGTTATGCTGCACAGTATCGGAGAGACATGGTTAAATCGCACTACTAAAATAAATCTCAAGGGAATGTATATAATGGATAAGATGCGAAGATTAAAAGTGATAAAGCTGAAAATAGTAAAATTAACGCTGCTTCCTGGTAATCACAAAAAAAAGAAACAAAAGAAACAGATAACCTCAAATCGAAACATGAGTCTTCTACACCCACTTTTCTCGCTCTCAATACAATATTCACTTACCAAATCCAAGCCAGCACATAAAAAATAACGCTATAAACCGATGGCCACTGCCTTTTGGATGGCAACATATGTAGCTACAACTAGAAGTGTCCTGTTCAAAACTATCGGAAACAGATGCATTAATACAAAGTTGAGAATTATCTTCCAATCTTCTTTCCATTTCCGATTCTATGAATTCTAAATGATTTCCACAGTTAGTAATGATGATAATGTAAACGAAGTATAGTTACCATTTAAATTTTTTATAAGAGGGAGATACGTCCCTGTAAAACACCATTATTTGCTGGCCTATAAAAGAAATAGTTATGAGTAATAACACACCACAAAATTATACTAACAAAAGCGACAAGGAAATCGACGTAATCAAAACAAGTTTACCAACAATTCATCACTTTGTGATAAACGTAACGTTGTTTATCTTTGGCCTTGCTAATAGTATGTAATAAATAATATATCAATAGTAGTATTTATCATCTAATAGTACACAATTTTTCACTGGGACGATTGTAAAACTTTCAAATCTGAAAAGAACCGCGAATACTTACGAACCTACCAGAGTGTGAGTGGTGCTTACCAGTGTCCCTAGTTCCGAACTATTCACTTTATATTATACAGGGTGACGACTTTTTAATGTTGCCCAAAGATAATACATACTATACATATAAAAAACAAACTTGATGATGATTTTCCGAAACGAAACGTCATATTGAAAATCTCTCAACGCTATCTTATAAAGCTTAAAAAGTGGCAATGAGAAAGTGTTTTTAATTTTTTTGTATGGTTTCCGAGATCCCTATGACATCCGTATCTTGGACACAGTGTATAACCTTCCTGGAAATACTAATCAATTTATGCAAAATACGCTAAATAAGTTACCATTTCATTTAGATATAGCTATGGCAGCTTAGTGTTCACTAAATTCCAAATTACTTTTACTTAGGTATGTTAATCAATTCTGTTGTTCTCTGATGCACGTTAAAACTAATTAAAATGTACCACAACTGCAAATTAGGGTTCCCACTATTAGTGCTGGGCGATAGGTAAATCAAATTGTTATGGATGTCTGTTTAGTCCGATATAATTAGCGATTAATCGTTAACTATCGATAGCTTTTGATAATTATGATGGTTAATTGTCGATAATAATTAATAGATTATTATTGACATCTGTCGAAAATTGTCAATCTCTGATTGTTATTGATGAATCGAATATAGCGATAATTATAGAGAGAAAAGAGAAAACTGTGGATACTTTTTCATAAATCCTATCGATATAAATATATTCTCAATGCAAAATTTGGTACACGTGAACATGCATTTTTGGATAATTTAAATAAAAACAGGATGTTTTGAAAAATAACAACTATAGGTATTCTGTAGTTTTCTGAAATCAAAGGTGATCAACTAGACAAATAATCCTCAAAAATTTGGTACATATCTTTCAACCTCAAAATTATCAGTTTTTAACAGAAACAGTAATTAAGCATAATAGTATATCTAATTCACGTCAACCAGCCTAAAGTAGGTTGTGAATTGTGATCATATATTTTATAAGTGTCATGCCAACTCCGGAATGCTCTTACTTGATATCGCTTTTGCGATAAATCGATGTAAGATTAATCGGTAGATTATCGATTAATCGACCAATCTTTTAAAATCACAATCAATCAATACATTTTTCAATAAATTATCCATTAATCGACCATTTTTTAAAAAAGAATCTGTCTATTAATCGATTAATCGTTTTTTTGGAAAGCACTACTTTTAATTGACTAATTTATCGGTCGTCGATTAATCGTTAAGTTTTCGATTAATCGTTTTTTTGCACACGACTAGTTCCCACATTGACTGCGTTGAATTCCGGGACACCATTCCTCCGTGAACCAAAATTATGACCGAGTAAAAATATGCCATATTCAAAAATTTATTGGATATCTTTCTAATTTTTATAATTATGGCAAAAAAATATTGTTTTTTGTGGCTAGTTTTATTATATTTAATTTGTTTTAATGTCAAACGTAGGTATTAATCCCATTACATTTCTTTAACGCACAAAATAAAGCAACAGAAAAAATAAAATGTGCATCAATATATGATGGTATCAATCAAATTTAACAAAAGCACGTTTTTCTAGAACAAAAACCAACATATTAAACAAATAAGTTGTAAATCGGCATATGCATGATGAAAGCGCATTTTTGGTAATACAGTATATTTTATTAGCGGTTTAAAATTTTGTCAATCTCACGAGTAATCTAACCATACGACCATGAATCTTTGTTTCAAAAATGCGCTAATAACTGATGGGTGCAGTGTGATTGGTTCACTATAACTTACGTATTAACGTAATTGTCTAAATCCTGCGGTCGAGATTTGTTGATATTTCTTTTGGTTTGTGCAGTGTCGCTACTATTTGGATCTGGGCAGATGTAAATTTTTATTCACGACGTTTCATTATTTTTCCCAGGGTCCGGGACAATCCCAGCCAAGTGGCAACCCTACTGTAAATCCACATGAATCGTGAAAAATACAGTACCTAACAAAATTGTGAAGAAAAACTTGGTTCGGGGTTTAAATCAGAAATAAGAAATTTTATTAGTTGAAATGGTCCAAGTCAATTGGTTTAGGCATTAATAATCCAATTTACTTATGCAATGTTTTGATTCCCACATTGACCCTAAACAAAAAGCAAATAGAAAATGGGAACAATCTTACGAAACCGAGTTCCAATTGTTAGAACAGTACAAATTACAATTACTTTACATCCTGCCAAAGATTATATACCATGCTGGGGCTTAGTTTTTCAACAATTTAGTTTCACAGAAATAAATAAATAAAAGAATATTCCTATATCATCTTTCACTCTACATTTCATTTCTAATGTCAATAATAATTAAACATGAACAACTACGCAGTAGCTGTATGTTGACCAAAATCTACGTTCATATAAAGTTTATACCAATCGCTATGTACAGATTATTGTAATTAAATTCTCATCACAATTTAAATAACTACACCTAGATTGTTTAAATAAGAAGTTAAGCAGTCACTTCTTCATTTGCAGAATCAAAGTCTAGTTTCACTTCCTCATGCAAACCTTCAACATCTACTTCCGATTCAGAAGCGTTTAACATATTAAGTGTCACTTCTTGTTTGACCAGTGTTTGTTGCGGTTGCATACTTGTACTAGGTTGTGAAGGTTGCGACTGTACCGCACTAATTTGCCTTACAGGTAATCCCGCATCTTCGAATGCCTTTTTCTTTAGAGCGGTTCTAATTTGGGATCTACAATGATTTAAAAATTAGTAAAGCTACACGTTTTGAAGAAAGTGTGAAACTTACACAGTACGTAATTTGATATGTTCACTAATTTGATTTAAACCATCGGCAAAAGTTTTTACTACTGTTCTAAGCATCTCAATTTCTTCGTCTGTCCATTTTCTACATTAAACGCATTTATTCTCGTTAGGTACTGGCCGCGTTAACTTACCCTGCGGGCGACTCGGCGTTTGGATGTAACTGCATGGTTAAGTCGCCAAGCTTGTTAAAGGCAGCTCCCGCTGCAGTAAAAATTTCTCCCACCTATCACCCCAAAACACACAAATGTAAACATAACCTGAATTGGTCCAAAGAAACATATTAAAATAAAATAATAAAAATTACCTTGCTTGCAGAGCTCATAATTGCGTTAAATAAAATTAATACTCATTCCTTACTAGAATGGAAATGCTTTTAAATAAATTGTGGTTTATTTAAAGGCATCAACCAGAAGCTAGGCACCTAGCCACGGTACGTGTGACGCTTGGACCACAGAATATAACGCAACTTTGGCTGTGCTTCCTGTGCAATCGGTAAACGTTCCTATCTTCGGTCAAATGATCAGAGATCGTAGAAATTCATATGATAGTAGGTGTAGGATGTTACCTTTTTTAGGTGCGTTAAGGGTTAAGTTGTTCCCCCAACATCAAGAACGCAAAATTCCTTAACACAATATTTTGTGCTCGTTTTGGACACACTGTCCCACGTTTTGTATCTCACGGGTGACGGAGATATCGATTTTTTAACACCTGGGTGTGCGGACAATTCGCGCCGGGATAATTCGCAACCGGACAATTCGCTCCCCTAGAATTCTTTATCAAGTGTTAGTGGGTTTTTCTAATAACTTCTTAAGCTGATTGCCAAGCAAGTGGCTGGTGGTAATGTTTTAAATATTATTCACATTCGCTCGGAGGTCATTGCAGAAGTATTGTATGCATCAATTTTTGGCAATTCCTTGTCATATTTTTATTTTTATCTGCATTTCTGACAAGGATCTTCTGTGCACCTTTCGCTGTTAACAAGCGCTCATACCCGCGGTTGCGAATAACCAGCAAGCAGACAACCTGCTTTTTTTATGTGTGTACCATAATATTGGTACAATAAAGACCTTATAGCTCACCACTAAAAGAAGTTAAATAGATACAACTGGCAAGTGGCAGCCTCTACGATCTTGTATTGATTCACATAGTGATATTATTATGTAAATTAATAATTAATTTAATAATGTAAGTACCATATCCGTTCCATACAATTCGGTTATATTCTCAATGTATGTTCCGTTTCCATAACCATTCCATACAATTCGATTGCATTTTTGCAAGTACAGTGCAGGTTAGTAGTAAACTAGATATATGGTCGGAAGAAAATTTGATTAGGTGTGGCTGCTATTATTTTGGACGACGAACAGCAAAGAAAACACAAAAGGCGTTTTTGGAACCAATTTGGTACAGAGCGCTATTCATACTATTATAGCAATACCGTTTCCGTAACATCGCAGCCTATCCGTCAAAAATACATTTGGATTGTAATGTATATGGAATGGAATGGATACGGAACGGAGTCAAGCCGATATGTGAACAGAAAGGCGAATGTGGATTAGCGCGCGGCTGAATGTCTGCACATATCACTTAAAGGTCAATTTCATAGGTATATAATAATTTACGGAATGGTTATAGAAAGGATATGGTATGGAAACGTAATGTATAGTAAGAATCAACCTTTATCCGGGCGCGAACTGTCCGAGAGAGAATTTTCCGGACGCGAATTGTCCTACAACTCCCCCAAGGAATTTAGTTAAACGACGCATACAGAGAAACATCAAATTAGAGGATGCCCCTTCTCGATATGCTATGACAAGAGCTGCAGGCCGCACGAGTTTAGGGAATAACATACATAAACAGCGTACGGAGCAACGGCATCTGTGGTATTAGGGATTCAGGAAAATACAATCATATTGTACTATTGTACATACTTATAGCGGAAACGCGTGCTGTTTTGCAATACTGGATGCGGATTTTTCGTCAAATCAAAATGTTATAGAGTTTTGATAAGGAACCCAGTGCATCCGTTACACAAAATAAATCGAAATGATACCTATGCAGATGCACGATGCCTGACGGTACACAGGAGGAACTGAAATTTAAGCGGCCCATAAGCGATTTAAAGAAAAACAAGTTACGAAAGAGGTGATGCCACTATGGCTTCAAAAGCGGTCCAGAATTTCAGATTTTTATTGTGTGCAGATAGCGACCCAAAGCATGCGCAATCATGGTAACTTGTTCTAGCTGAGTGTAACTGTCAAATTTATTCAAGATGACCGCCGATTGGAATCTTATGATTAATCACAGAGTTGTATATAAGTAAATAGAGAGACAGTCTTGTAGCGAAAAATTGACTCCAATTGAACCTTGACCTTGCGCAGGCCGTTGGTGAGTGTGCGCAGTAATCGGCTTGAGAATAATATGGTTTCTCATTGCAACAAAAATTGAAAAGAAATTCAATGTGGTGAATGATGTTGTTAACACTGTGTCTTGAATAAATAAGAAACATTACAATGGTTAAGAACTTTTAATACAGTAGACGTAAGGGGCTTACAACATCAGAATCGAGAAAAGATTTTTTGAGATTCTGGTATAAAGGAAATCGTATATTTGTCGTGCAATCGAGTTTAAAGATCTATTTATGCACTCAGTGAGTATAACACGGGCCACTACTATTTTCGATCTATACCCTTAATCTACAGTCCTCTTTAAAACTAGGCAGTATTCACATGTATGCTGATGATTGTCAAATATATTTTAAAATACTTCCTAAAGAAATTAGCACAGTTGCAGACTCTATTAACAAAGATATAGCCGCGTTTGTAAATACAGCAGAAGACCATTGTCTCAATGTGAATACCGCAAAAACACAGTTGATATTTTTCGGTACAAAGTCAAATCGAAATCTTGCCGAAGAAAAAATATCTATCGAATTTAAAGGTGATCGTTTGAAACCCTCGAATGTAGTAAAAAATCTTGGACTATACATGGACAACCAATTAAACTTCCAAACCCATGTAAACTCAAAAATTCACAAATCATATAATAATTTGCGGCGTTTATATTCATATAGGCATGTGCTGCCACAAAACACAAAAGCGTTACTGTCTAATTCCTTAGTGCTGGCACCTTTAAATTACTGTGATGCCGTTTACGGACCATGCATAACTAAACAAACCTGTTATAAAATTCAAAAGGTCCAAAATAGCTGTTTACGTTTTATTTTTGGAATACGTAAATACGAAAGGATATCACACACCTTCAATAAATTAAAATGGCTGAACATGGAAAACCAAAGAAAACTGCATCGACTCGGACTTTATCATCACATATTAATCACGCATAAACCCCCATACTTGTTCGAAAATATTTCTTTTAGAACAGACGTCCATAATATAAATATTAGGAAAAAAAACTTTCTCACCATACCTCTCCATAAGACATCACAGTATAAAGGGTCGTTCTCCTACAATATTGCTAAAGATTATAATATGCTACCGGAACGTTTGAAAGCAATTAGAAACCCTGGAACTTTCAAGGTCATTCTCAAACAATACCTTTACAATTCTCTCTAACTTGAATGCCATTTGATGTCAGTGATTCGATAGTAGATAACACTTACCTACTTAAGTATGTAAATTACAAGCAGTATTAACTGGTTGAGTGAAAGAACAGCTCAAACAAAGGTCGTTAGTATGATCATTTAGAAAAAGCTATGCTGAACTCCGCCACTTACTACCTTAATTGTTTGATACCTAAACTGTAATTTCTTTCTTCACCAAAACTTGCAATTGAGGTAATAATAAAGAGTATTATTATTATTATTATTATTATTATTATTATAAAAATAAGCAATGAAAGAATAAAATAAGTTGAAATTTTATTTTGGTGCGGGACAAAATTTCAGGTGTGCAATGCCGAAAACACAGTTTGAATACGGGTAGCCACAAAGTCGACAAACTTCAAATGCCAATAACTCAAATATCTCAAAAATGGAGCATCGGCAGAGGATATGTACAGTGGCACCACGTTCAGAAGGTTCCTGACAGGGGTGTCCGAGGACGTTGGAAATTTAGACTGTACATTCTCATGCAAAATTTGACTCTACTAAATATAAATACGTGGGCCACGCGATATGAGTTGCATTACTTCAAGGGGAAACAGTAAAATTAATAATTTTATTTCTACAAAACATAAACACATTTAAGATTGTTAGGTAGATGTTCATGTTCAACACAATTTACAATTCTGATGCACTTCTGCTGTGTAAATATGGACAGTTATTGAAACAATCACATTGAAATTAATAACACTCACATTGACTAAATTAACACACAACCTTTAACTTTTTTCATTCATTATCGTCACTTGACCACTAATCATCATTGGAACTGCCGGTGTTCACAATAAATTGTACATTGTCAATAAATTCATTTCTCGTAGGAATGTTATTTGCTTCTAACCAAAAACGTATCACTTCCTTAGGATTATTCATTGTCGGTGACTTATTTATTTGAACACTGATAAGGTGCGTGAGTTTGCTGGTAAATTTGGTATAAGCTGCTTCTCTAACCACTGTATAAAGTTTGTATGATTCATATCATCGTAATAATCCCCCGATTTACTGTGCGACATCCTCTACAAAACCAGAACGACTACCAGCATACTACGATGTACCTCTGACCAGCCCTATTATAAACTTCCGATACTTCATCTGATTGTTAGCATTTACTCACTCCGTTCGATGGGTGAATATAGGTTTCGTCCAAGTATATAACGGGTTTCTTGTCACATTCAGGTTGTTCATTTTCTTTTAATCTTCTTAAATAACGAGATGCCATACTACAATGTCACTACTTTCCATTACCAACCTATGTTTGTCCCGACACTTCTTGTATCGAAAACCAAGTTTCAACAATTGCTTGCGAAGAGTTTTCCTTCCACCCATATATTTGATCTTTTCTTGCACTTTTCTAGGAGCATTTTAAAATATCCTTTATTTATGTACAGATCGTCGTCTACTAAACATTGAAATGGCAGTAAAGAGTATAGGTAATGTAATGGGCATGCTTAAATTATTACTCCAAAGCGTCTGTTTATTTACAAATGAATCTGAAGCATCTGAAAAATTATTGCTGTTTTGTTTTGTGATTATGTAACTGAATGCACCCAAAAATCGTGCTGATTCCCTTTCACGCACTGCGCATGAGTCCCAACGGCTCCGCCATTAAAAGTCGGCCACTGTAGTTGGAGTTATTTTTCCACGCGCAGGTCGTATGTACTGCCTCTCTATTTACTTATATACAACTCTGTGTGATTAATCCACTAACGAACCACCAATTCTGTATGCCTCTAAAATACTTATGCTGCAAATTAGTTTTGAATTATCGAGTGTCATGGCATCCTCTTGTCTGTGAACTATTAATATTTTGCTCATTTCATAAACATTTCAGCATGTATTAATATATTTTGTTCACTATATTTTACAAATATTTATTTTTACAATAACTACTAAGCATAAAGCATAATAATTAAAAAAAGTTAAATAATATTAACTAGAGATCACAATTTTTAAATCTGATTTTACAATGTATGTATATTTACAAAAAGTACTTTATTTATGTTCACATTCAGTCTCAATTATTGCTCTTAATCTATACTACCACATATTATTTTACATACAAATGTAAACTTCTACATATTTACTTAATGGCTACATTGGGGTTAAGGAGTGATACATTCGTTGTCATATTTAGTAACTTAAAACAGTTTATATTTTGAAATTTGTTGTAAGTGATATGTTTTTGTTTAATCAAAAATGTTTCATTAACAATTGCGTATATAAGTTAATAGCAGTTCCAAAAATTATCCTAAAATGTCACATCAATCACAGTATACAGAGAATAAAAAACAGATCATCTACTTTTTAGCACTACTTAAGATAAAAATGAAATGAATGCTTTTTGATTTTATCGATATCGTAATTCAGTAACACTCCATAATAACAAAAAGGAGGTAATGATACATAATATTTCAGGTTCCTTATATGCCTACAATTACTAACGAAACATCCTTTTCATAAAGATACTCAGTAGCTTCTAAAACCGACTAGAATGATTAAAATACCAACTTCATTATCATTCAGATGTCCAAATAATCACAATCATGTTATAAACATGTGATAAATCAACAGAAATATATGACGACAATTACTACACATTGATACCATTGGTCTCTACTATCAATTTTTAAAATAATAAAAAGCTTGATTGTCACAACTTTTAGTAACTACCTTCATATCAGAGCTGTTTAAAGCTCATCTAACTGATAAACAATTCTGGATTCCCGCATGTGTAATACAAATACATTAAAGCGATTTTCTATAAATCAAAGTCTGGCGCTGCATAAGCCCAATACTGTTGTGAGATCTTGATTTTGGTTTGGTACTTTTTTGTGTAAATGTTTTCACTCGCACCTCGCAGTGACACTTTGTACAACAAAATCAAATCAAAGGTCTCCCCGATTTTATTCTGGGCAAGTTCGAAAAATGTTCATTTCATTTAATTCAAAATCGAAAAGGTGCCCAAATAATACTTTCAGTATACCAGTTCAGACAACTTTTCAACAGAGAACATACAATTTCTTTGGTAAATTTAAAATTACAGTATACTCCACTTAAAATAACCGAGAAGACTGACTATAGTCAAGCATTAAGCTTCGTAATTATTAAGTAAAGAGTGAGTATCTACTGTTAAGCTGACAAAAGCAAATTCTGCCACTAAGACTCTGACCTAAAAAGGTCTGGAAGATGGGTCTCTTTCTCTAGCGAAAAAGTCTTTCTAGCAAAAGAAGGATTACAATGGAATACAGTATTTCTCCTTTATCTGTACATTGCTAAGTAAATGCCTATTTATCCATATGTCACACATGTTTGTTTTGCACTTCTTTTTAGTGGAGTATGCAACAGTTTAAAATGTATAAATTACCACACATATTTATAGTGACATTTTAAAACAAATATGGTCACAATAATTGTATTAAACTAAAAATAATTTAAATAATATACTACCTATACAAGTTAATAAAATTGATTAAATTGGTTTCTTTTACTGGTCGCATTGTGTCTGTATGGTTCAACATTCCTGTGTCCCTCATATTTATTTCTGTGTACATTGTTGTAGGTATGAATGTGTCTTCTATCCACTTGATTGACTGAAAAAGACGCAAGAATGTTAATATAGTCTGTAAAATGAGTAAGTTTCGATTTCGGATTAGCGCTTAATTAAAGCACGCCATCAGTTTATATATCTTTGCCGTTCTAACACATAATAATTGTGGTAGAAGGAAAGTGGGTAGCCAGTTTTGTCACCGCGGGCGGTGAAATAAGAAGAACGCTCTACGTTAAAGGAATTTTAAATGGAAATACATGCACCAAAAAGAGATATCAATAGGTAAGTCATGTTTTGGCGCGGTTCGGAAAACGTCCATTTAAGTGTCACTGCATTGCGCTTTTAAATGGACTTTTCCCGAGCCGCGCCAAAAATATGACTTACCTATTGATATCTCTTTTTGGTGCATGTATTTCCATTTAGAATTCCTTTAACGTAGAGCGTCCTTCTTAGTTCACCGCCCGCGGTGACAAACCTTGCTACCCACTTGCCTTCTACCACAATTATTATGTGTTAGAACGGCAAAGATATATAAACTGCGTTAATTAAGCGCTAATCCAAAATCGAAACTTACTCATTTTACAGACTATATTTAATCTATATCCATTTTTTCCATATGACAAAAATGAATGGAATGGAATACTTAGAGGAATGCCATATGATCAGAGTTGAAGAAAACTCTGAACTCCTTCAAAGGGTAAAATGAAACAAATTGACAATTGACAAGAGGTGTAAACCATTAATCTGAATGCACCTGCTGACTCCTTTTAGTCTGTGGAGTGTGGTAACCAAATTGTTCAGTGTGAAATGTAGGGTGCTTGGCAAGTACTACGTCTTCAAATTACTTATATCTTAACTATAGCACCTGGGGATTTGCTCTCTGACCCTGATACTGAGAGTTGACAACTAAAGGTTCCCAACTCGCTTGGAGAAAGGTAAAATGAATTATGCGGTCGATTAGATAAAAATGCCCTTATCACAGTTGTCTGTGTGCATATTTTGGAGTATGGTCATCCACATTTCAGCAAGTGAGAGACATTGATTGAATTGAGAAACTTTCCGCATTAATGACACAAAGAGTCTGCCAGAAGAGAAGGTTTAAAAAAACATAATTCTACATGGTATGTTTATTACATACGAGATCAAGCGATGCTTACCATTAAATTCCTCAACAGCTTTCCGCCTCTTGTGATACTTTTGACTTTGACCTTGTGGAAGAATGGAATGCATTGGTAATATATTTAGTTTCGATCTTGCTGGCAAAATGGCGCTTGCACTTCTACACGATTTCCCTTTACACGCCATTAAACTTTGGAGTTTTTCGTGCAAATATGCACGTTCATCAGGTTGTAATTGATCAATTCGATTCTGTAATTCAAACGGATCTGAAATTTATATTATTAGTGGTAACTTTAGATGCACAGGCATCACATACCAATACGGAGATTGTAGTATGTTATAAGCCCTGTTGTGAATTCACAGTAGAGAAAATTGTGCGTGGCATTAATGGTTCTGATGCACGAGTATGTGTTATTATTAGCATTCATGCAGAAACAGAACGGCCCCGCCACCCATAAGGGTGCTGTTCTCCAATGGTCATTATCATGACTGAAACAGTTCATTTTTTCTGATAAACACTCCTTTTTCAACTTGGCTTTTTTGCGTTGTTTCCTTTCTTTCTTCTTCATCCTTTCGTCTTTAATACGTTGCTTATTGAGGCGCGCCAGTTCTTTCTCTGAAGTCGGATGTGGTTCTTCAGATTCACAATGGCAATATTCATTTCGATGAGTTCCAATTCCTGAAGTCGTGCTATTTGTCAGCGGCTGTAAATTAAATTATGAAATGACCAAAAACACAAAAAAGGAAGCTAGCACCTTTGGTATATGGTTTTGGTTATCCATGACTATATTTGATGAAATACTTTCGGTTGTACCATTCTGTATTTCGCTTTCTGTTGGAATTCCAACAGAAGAAGTGACAATGCTACTTGTTGTACTTTGTGTGGATTCAAGGTATGTCTGATACGATGGTGTTGAACTGTAGTGTTTGTGTCTGTGGTGGTGCCTGTGACGAGTTGTGGATGAAGTTTCAGTAACATTGTAAGGATTATCAGTGGTTGGTAAGTATTCATGTTCAGTAGTCACATTGTAAGAGTTTTCAATACTGTGGTGCTTAATTTTACGCCGTTTATTTTCATGGTATGGATGATCATTTTCAGGTCTTCTTCGCTTTTTGGTAGATTTAATGGAAGGTTCCAGGTTATTTTCGAGTTCAGTTCTGTTAGCTATACCAATGAGTGAATCGTCTGTATGTTGAGCAGATGGTAAATCATCAATTTTGGGTAACGATACACTTCCCATGTTGACATGGTCAAAGTTCAAAGAGTCTGTTTTGACAGGTAGCACCTCTTCATTGACACGAGTAATGTTGTAAACTTCATTGTGAGTAACACTAGGGCGAGAATACTTTAAATGTCTTCTTATTTCCTTCAAATTCTCAAGTTTCTGCCTCAGTCTTTGAATCTCATTATCGATATAATGTCTTGATTGTCTCCACGTTTTTCTATCTTGATATATGTCATTTGAACAATTTACTTTACCAGATATTAGTATTACACATCCTGGACCAGCATTTTGGAACACCACATTTGCATCCAAACTATTTCGGGAAGAATGACTTTCTTGCCATGATGCATTTACAGCCTAAAAGTATAAGAAATTTTCAATTTAAGAATGAAACACATTATATTATTGAGCAAGTTGAGCAAATAAAGCTGAATTTTAATTAAGCTATAAACCATTCTAGGTTTTTTGTAACGTGAGTAATTCCACCCAAAAATAATTTAATTTTTTCGTACTTTACAAATTCTAACTGGTTATCATAAAAATTAGATAAGAAAAAACTACATTTTAAACTATTCAATAACTGTGCGCATACAGGAAGAACCCCGGAATATAAAAAAGTTTCAAAAGATTCTATGACGATTCTAAAAATTGTAAGCTTTGAGAGATTAAAGATAATATTGCAAAAACTCCAAATTTCAAAAAATTTCGAAAAGATTTAAAATATGACAAAACAAAGTTATTCACATAATTTTAAAACGATTCTTTAATATGTTCCGGCCCTTTATGTAGCGACCGCGTACTGTATCCTGACAAATTAATTCAAACCACCACATGATTACTCCATCAACATCCAGCTGGCCACCTGTACAGTCCTTTGTCACTTTGTACATATTGTAAATAATTAGATGTCTTGACAACATGCGCCAGTGTCAATAGCCTGTAGCCAACCAACCCGACGGCACCGCCAACGCGGATGCCAGTCGTCAGGATGATATTTTATTATCAGCACGTTCAACAAACCGCCAGCGTATCTCTTATCTAGCAAACTCCATCTCCTTGACGAGTATCAGTCAAACCTCCCCTGTTTTGGAGGACAGTTCCAGCTATATTCCGTCTAACCTTGACTTTACAGTACAGGTTCCTACGTGTAAAAATTAAAAGGAGAGAACCTTGCATTAAAAGTGCACACGACGGAAATGGATATTTGGTTTTCTAAAGATCTGATTGGTAAAAATAAATGAATCCGATTGGCGGACCCAATTATAGCTATTTTGGGCGTATTTTTTTGAAGTAAAAAAAAGTTAACGGAAGCCGAAGGAGCTCCAAAAAAAATGATCGTGTCGAAACCGCGATATGAGAACTTGAAGCGTATGTACACAAAGTGGTCGGGTAATTTCCTTGGGAGGAAGTATTTGTATCGAGTATAGACGAAAGTGCGCTGTTTCGAACTGTGCGGATACGAAGTCAAAGTTTTGGACGTTTCAATTTAAACCAAAAACATTGTAAAGTGAAAATTAAGCGAAATACAAATAGCGGAACCTTTAATTACACAAAAATTAAAATCTTGTGACCCTTAAGTATTAGGAAAGTGGGTTAAAATAAGAACAAATATAGCAAACGAGCTCCTGGGTATGGCTATAGCACGTGCAAAACCAAATGTTAAACCTGATGTTAGTTTTGCTTTTATTTAAAGTGTATATGTATGATTTTTCATTTGAATGCCTCCATAAATAAGAAAGTTGGCACTGCGCATGCGCGAAACGAGATTTTGAAACTGGTATTAAATTTTCTTTTATTCCAAGTGCCTATGTATCAAATTTGATTTAATTGCCTCCATAAATAAGAAAGTTGGCACTGCGCATGCGCAAAACCGAATTTTGAAACTGGCGTTAAATTTACTTTTATTCCAAGTGGCTATGTATCAAATTTCATTTAAATACCTTCATAAATAGGAATTTTGCAATTCGGTCTGTAAATGGTCGAGATGCGAAAAGGGCACTGTGAATGCTGATCGATTAGACTCAACTTTTGGAATTGTGTTTTATATTGCTAAAGCTATGCGCGTATTGAATTTCATGCAATTCGGTTCATAACTAACAGAGATGCCAAAAGGGCCTACTTTATTTTTTGGGCTACATTGCCAATTCACGAACTCCGATCTACAAATTTGATATAGAATTCACCTGCAAAATTTCATCGTAATCGGTCCATTCGTTTATGAGTTATCGTGCTAACGGACGGACGGACAGACACAACAAAATTATAAACTCGCTAGGAGCTCGTTAATAAACTGCAACGATATCGCGATTGCCGCTGAATTTTATTCGTAGATGTGGTGTTTTTAAATATTTTTTTTCACTACTAGCATCTGATGACATGATTATTAACCTTTTTTCCACTTGTAAAGTAGGCTTTCTCGGCATTTGTTCAAAGTGGTTAATAATTTTTTATTATTAACTAGTAGTCAATAATGAGAACTGTCACGCTGTCGCTTTTAGAAAACACAACCCGAAATTTCGCTCAATGAACGTTTAGACAAGTTCTCTAAAACGAATAATTGCCACCATTCGCAATTTCCAGAGAAATTACATACCTAAAATTATCACATTTTGAAAAAATTCGAACGAAATTACTCTTTGAAAATATCTCAATGACAGAACAAAATACGGCCTATTTGACTTGTACTTCCACGTACTTGATTGACATGTTAAATTAATAAACAAAAATTCTGTCCAACCGTTAACTCTCTTATCAATATAATATGTTAATTTAGAGGATTTCAAGTGCTAGTAGTGAAAAAAATAGTATATATACCACGGTAGAGAAGTCTATTATTGCCTTCGCACCTTACACCCCTCGGCGCAAGCGCCTCGAGATGTAATCTTGGTGCTCAGGCAATAATAGTTGACTTCTCTACCTTGATATATAATGTACTATTTTTCACTACTAGCGTCTGATGACATGATTATTAACCTTTTTTCCACTTGTAAAGTAGGCTTTCTCGGCATTTGTTCAAAGTGGTTAATGTCTGATGACATGATTATTAACCTTTTTTCCACTTGTAAAGTAGGCTTTCTCGGCATTTGTGTACATTATTAACTAGTAGTCAATAATGAGAACTGTCACGCTGTCACTTTTAGAAAACACAACCCGAAATTTCGCTCAATAAACGTTTAGACAAGTTCTGTAAAATGAATAATTGCCACCATCCGCCATTTCCAGAGAAATTACATACCTAAAATTATCACATTTTGAAAAAATTCGAACGAAATTACTCTTTGAAAATATCTCAATGACAGAACAAAATACGGCCTGTTTGACTTGTACTTCTACGTACTTGATTGACATGTTAAATTAATAAACAAAAAATTCTGTCCAACCGTTCATTTTCTTATCAATATAATATGTTAATTTAGAGGACTTCAAGTGCTAGTAGTGAAAAAAATAGTATATATACCACGGTAGAGAAGTCTATTATAGCCTTCGCACCTTACACCCCTCGGCGCAAGCGCCTCGCGATGTGCTTGGTGCTCAGGCAATAATACTGTACTTCTCTACCTTGATATATAATTTGTTGAATTTGTTACTCAGTTGTAAACGTTGATTAACAAGACAAAACGCAAACGGGTAAACGTCATGTTTAAACGCTACTGACTTGTAAAACTGACAGCAGACCTGTAAAACTGACAGCAGACCTGTAAAAATTTTACAAGTTAGTAATCTAGTAATTTCATTGGCCAGAATTAATGCGAAGTCTCTGTTACATGGATAACATGATATTTTAGACATTTCTTCAAGATCAATTTAAGAACTAATTATTTACGTTTACTATTGTTTACAAGTGAGTAACAAATAAAATATTGCACATTATACGCCAGGTAATAGTTTTTACTGGCTCTAGGAGATGACAAGCTCGCCTGACGGCTCGCCAGTCAACTTCTCCTATCGCCAACAAAAACTCACTTACCTGGCTAATAATGTAAAATACTATAATTAAGTAAAATAGAGCGATTTTGAAAAAATTGGAACCTGGAGTCAAACAAAAGCTATCATTTTTGAACAGATTATACTCAAAACTTGACATGAAATTTCATCTTAAACAAAATTTGAGTGAAAAACTCATTTTAATTGCAGTAGGAGAAATCTGAACAGATGATCAATAAATGTTACACTTACCTGCAAACCATCCAATTGATCTCTGATATTTTCCATTACTAAATCTACATGTGACAATGCATCCTTCCTATTGCGATCCGTTTGCTCTTCCCTTTTGAATCTACTTGGTCTAAAAGGTTTCTTTACAATGGCCAATGTCGTGTTAATCTAAAGACAAATTCAAATGATGCAAACGTTTCTAATAATAAAATTCAATATAATTACAGGGATCTTCTTGTACACTAATCCTTCCGGTGTAAAACAGGCACATTTTCTGTACGTTTTCTTAAACTGGGGAATAGGTATTTGCAGTTTGCATTTATGTTTCCTCCATCTCCCGTATTCGTATTGGCAGTACCACTTCTGCCCGGGTTGACAAGGTAACTGATATTCTTCGAGAGAACATTCCATAGACAGTCTCTCAAGTTTATTTGGCGATAACGGGAGCACAAGTTGATTGTCAATTTGTGTCGACGCTAGGTAATTACTTTATTAGGAAGGAGAAACAATTGTACAATTACCTTTTAGATGGTCTTCCGTTATTTCCTCAGGGTGCTTGTTTTGCGGTAACGTATCATAAGAATTAATTTCTTCTTCTTCGTCGTTATCGTCTCCCCCCTCATCGTCATCGTCATCAATTTCAATTTCGCCATCATCGTCATCCTCAACCTCATCCTCAAATTCGCCCTCATCAATAGCATCCGCTTCCTCAAGTGAATCAAGAAAATGCTGCGGTGCCACTGTTGTTATGTCGAATATTTTTCTTGTGGAGTATTCTGAAGGCGCGAAACTAGTAGGTGGAGCAACCGTAGTAATATTCCATACACTGCTTTCAGTTGAATACCGTCCCGCTTTCGGCTTGACGGGAAGTTGGTACTCACGACGCCCTGAACTGAAACCTACTTCTTGTACCTACACATTATACCAGACCTTTAAAATACAAACCTTTCAATTAAAAATGTATCAAGCCACTTAAATTTTCTTCGCTTAGTGTTTAAAAATAATGGTAGCACTGAGTGACCATCCATATGATTAGGAGGTTCAACACCAGCCATATCTAAGAATGTGGGCGCCAAATCGATATTCAAAACGATATCATCAACAACTGTTCCTGGCTCAACACCAGGACCACGAACCAGAAATGGCACTCGAACATCAAATTCAAAAGGAAAACTTTTACCCTGTTCAGAAAATATGCCCAATAATCCTCAACTAAGTTACTTGTTCACTTACTTTTATTAAGCCAAACTGTCCCAGATGATATCCGTGATCGGAGGTGTATATCACGTATGTATTTTCTAACTCGCCCAGTGCTTCTAATTCGTTCACTACACGTTCAACGGCCGAATCTACAGATTGTAACGTTTGAAGTCGTTTCGTCATCAACAAATCGGTAAATTGTTTATGGATGAACTGCATCTTTTGAGTCACTTGCAATATCCACTGCTTGTCGGGATTCGGAGCGTAATCGTATGAAGGTGTGCTGAAACAAAAAGGAATAGGTTACGTCATTTTAGGTATTATTTTAGGATTTTTATTTCTTTTGAGTCGAATCGATCTGCTCGAGCTCGAGCTTTCTAGGGTATCAAGCAACTCAACTGATTTATTCAGAACTTAGTGGACCCGACAAACCTTATCCTGTCTTAGCTATGATAGCCCAGTCAGAATTGGAAAAATAGAGGAACTAAAGTTCCTTCGGAATTGTGTAAGGGACGTTTCCCTACTCAACGTACCCGAGTACCGGCTGTGCTAAAGGGGGGAGGGGAGCGAGAGTGGCTCCAAAGGTCCCATTTTATAGTTTTTTGCTTACACCGTGGAAAAGGTACGCTATAGCAAAAAATTTTGTACATAAAAATGAAAGCTTATTAAATTTGCTATAACTTTGAGTAGATACATAATTATGAAAAAACGCATCGTTTTTATGCTATTGACTATCCAAGGTTGAATATTTTCATCAGTGGATTATACATATTTATATGTATATGACCAATACCTACATCATGATTTCCTTTGGTTTTTTTCCCTCCAGGAAACCTCATCGTAACTGCATAAAGGAGAGGTAGTAATTCTAAAGTGGATCGTACTATATACAATGTGTAACATCAGATATTAACAGTACCTAAGACTAATTTTCGCTGTCCGAAAAAGTGAATGTGTCGATGTTGTCTTCTTCATCGCCGTCCTCGAGGACCGGTGGGCCGTTAAAGTACGCACTTTCACATCCACAAGCTGAAGTGTAGTTGATGCTCGTCTTACGACACCCACACCTCGAGTCGCATCCAGTTCTAGTAGTTCAGCGGCAGAAGATGGAACTTAGGACATTGGCCAGTGCTGGCGGGTCGCTAGTCTTGATACCCCATCAGCATTCGATCCTCTCCTCTCATCTAACCGTACCGCTGTGGAGGGTAAATCCGGCTATGCGGATCGAGTTGGCTAGTACGGTCATGTGTATAATCCACATATTCAATTTTGGTGGGTCAAAAACTTAAAAACGGGGGGTTTTTTAAGAAAGTGTATAGAATCAAAGTTGTAGCAAATTTAATGAGCTTGTATTTATATGAAAAAAAATTTTTTCTAGGACACACCGTTTTCGAATTGTAACTAAAAAACTATAAAATGCGACCATCAAATCCACGGTCTCCCCCCTCGCCCCTCTAGCACACGCGGTAGTCGGGGGGATTATGTTGATCAGAGAACCTTCTGCTACATATTTCCGAATGAATTAGTAATACATGATTTAGTTCCCCTATTTGCCATTTTTTGACCTATTCTTACTGGACTATGAATATTAAATTCAAGCTGGAATAAATAATTTCAAAACATAGATTTTCCAGATTGATCCCACAAACCTGCCCTTGTGATTTACCGACGCTGCTTAAAGTCGAATGGCATGTCGTTTGGAATCATAAGGATGCGGGGAATCAAAATGTCTTCACCTTTGTACTTCCCTTTCATCGTGGCTTCGATGACGTTGTTCTTCTTTCTTCGCCGCAAGCCGCGTGCCTTTATAAAGACGTTGCTGTTTTATGTTCCACAAGATCGAATTTAAAAATTTCGTTAGTTATAGTTGACAACAACGTCAGGGTTAGTAACGGAATTAATCGAGGAGATGTGTATGTAATCGATTCAGCAGCTATTTTGCTTTTAATGGCGTGATTGCAACCATTGTTTTGTTTTTGACCTCGCAGAAAACCTACGTGTATAAACGTTCGGATCGAATCGATTGTTGTAATTAAGCACCCGTTCTCCGCCTTCCCGTTTCTCCATATTTTGTGATCACTCCATAGATGAACACCCAGTATCTAGAAGGTGAACGCTTCGTTCGAAAAGTGTATTGGCGAAATGATTCATGTTGGTTTTAGGAGTTGGAGATAGAAGTTTTAGGTAATTGATTTAATTTCTAGAATTGTGTTTCAGCCGCCGCTACCGTAAATCCAGCTCAAATTAATTCGTCGTTTGCAACCGTTCCCGCCAAGTTCAAATATTTTTGTTGCGTCCGACAATTATTGTCATTTACAAGACGAGGGCGAATTAAAATTTTAGAATTTCAGCCACGTTAAGCCCTTATTAGCAGGTTTTTTTTCGTATGGTAATTTAATACGAGCATTAAAACTGCAAGGTCGCGCAGGTTTACACCGTTATCATGTTTGATAAGAGACGTTTATGTCGACCTGAGAAATTCCCATTAACAATATATATAGGTGTTGGACTACCGATTTTAGAAATTTCAATTAGGCCAATTAAGTAAGTGAAATTACATAAATGTGTTGCAGTAACCGTCATTCCACATAGTCGGGTGGGGTATCAAAAGAAGCGCTCTTAAATAATTTGAATTTTAAGACCAATTACAGTCAGCAGGCCGCACAATTAATTAAAGAAGAAACTTTTTGGACGTTCTTATCCGAATATGCTGTGTCGGCTGGAGAAACCGTCGATCCCCCCATTGCATAGCCGAAATTTGTAAAAGGAAAAGGTGTCGTTTAGAGGGGATCTATCTGCGTTTTGCACTTTCGCAAGCTACGTTTTATAAGTACCGTAATTTTAGATTTTCTGTAAATTAATTTTGCATTCATACCATTTAACGTTTGCCTTTACAATAAGTTTACCGCACCGTATCCATAGCTTTTGCTTTTTCTTCGCTCCGTTTAATTGCAATGTAAGTTTTTTGTTACTTTCAGTTTCATAAATGGGTGGGGAGAGGGGGTATTTTGTTTCGCTTTCCCATAGATACCGCTACCGAATCCGATTATCTACTGTTCTCGATTAGGGAAATTGCTGTGCGCTTTAATTTTGTTTAACATTCACCAATAGCCGGCCGCTGCTTGCCCTTTAGAATTCCTGGAGACTTTATTTAATCTGTTTCGATCGAGCACTTGTAGCGTGGTATTTGTTTCTGACTCTGACTGCTAATTTTTTCTTACATCATTTATCGAATAAATTTGTGTTTTGTGTTTAAACAGTTTTGTATCAGTTTGAGCCCAAATTATATACGATCCTAGAGATTCTGTTGTTTTTTGTGAATTGAGCTAGTTGGACAGGTGTTTTGTGGGTGGCTTAGTGACCATTTGCTATAGTCTGGCGTATAGCCAAACGAGTTCGCACTTCGAGGTACAGTTTTGAAAATGAGTATAGATGGTCTGTGACCCTTCCTCTTCAAGATCAGATATGACGCCACGCTCAATTCCCCTCGGACCCAGAGTTATGAGAGTTGCCTACCCAGTAAGGAGATGTTGAAGAACGAAAACGACAAAGTTATGATTTGACGAACTTTCTCTGACAAAATGTACTCGTAGAATAACTACACATGCTTCAAGGCATTGATCGAGTAATGGGGGGACCCAATTACCGCTGGTTGCCTACCTATTATTTTCCATCTTTTATATCCAGATTAGGCTTTTTGGTTATTAAAGTATGTTCTACAACAAAGTAGAATCAATGAATTATATTCCCTAATACTATGCGATCAAAAATCAGTTGCTGTCGAGTCACCTTTGGAATTTTTGTTTACATGGAAAATCGTATTTAACTTGAACTTCCACAGGCAACTCGACAGCAACTCATTTTTGATCGCCCGTTAGGTATATAAGCGTAATACAAAAATACGACAACGCATATACAGTGTGTTCTAGCCTCTAGGCTAGGTAGAAAGCACCATAGGGAAACGGAAATGTATTTTTTTGCGAAGGATTCACGAGGCTTTTGAAATTCGCGTGTAACGTAGGTACATTAAACGCTAACTTCAAATACATATCAAAGATTTCCTGGATCCTTCCCAAAAAAATACATTAATTCTATTAAACGAGATATATCCCGTATTGCAAATCCTGCACACACGTTACTTTAAACATTAATCTGTAAGTATATCTATCGATATCGTAGAAGAACTTGCACGAACATAATGTTAATATCCAAAACAAGCACATAACTCTTTACAAGGGAAATTGGTCGATGTATAAATAGTAACTATATTTTCCAAATGGGTGGTCACCGTAAAGTTTGAGCAGGACCACCCCATGATGCACGCAGCATTACCTTTTTAAGTCACAACCTTTTTCTCTAAGGCGGTGGTTCTCTCTCTCTCTCTCTCTTTAAACCTACTTTGACATACGGGTGCGAAAGTTAGGTCATTGATTAGGTTTTGAAGAAAAATGCAGAAAGAATGAAAATTGCGGTTGCAATGAAAAATAAAAAAAAATTACTTGGTGTACATTTGTTAATGTTATGTAAGTTGCATAACCACCAGGCCATAATTAAAACAATTCTGGTAATTAATCACAGATGTAAAATATTTATGTATGTAGTTATAATTTGAATTGGTTATTGTCCAAATAGTGTACGTGTTCTTAAACTGCAAGTTATTTGAAAAGAGGAGCGAACGGTTTTCTTTAGTAATCGGGTGCAATCACTGTTTAATCCCCTTTAATGAAAAATTCTCACGTGAGAATATGGCGAATTCTACTAGTAGTGTTTGGTAACCAAAATGCACGTGTGCATTCTTTGCACGAATTTAATCTACGTGTACGTAAGGTGATTTGTATGAAATGTGAATAATCTTGAGAGCCAGAAAACTTTTGTCGTTTTAAAAGAAAAATATATTCCTTTATGCGGCGCTGCTTTTGCTTTCTTTATACTTACCCTCAAACCCGTCTACGTCAATAATGTGTAACGGCTTAAAACCATTTCTACAAATAGAAATTTAAAAGGAAAGTTGGAATCATAATTCAGATGCTTTTACCGGAAAAAGTGCAGAACCCAAGGTAGAAGTTCAAACTCGATAATGGTAAAACTTACAAATTTTAATTTTAACATTCTGCAAGGACTTTTCACCAAAAGTAGTGAAAATAACGAATACGGGCTTTAACAATATAGCGCCACGGTGCATTTTCCGAGAAGAACCTGGAACGTCAATGAAAAATTGAAGTGCCGCCATCCAATGATGCAATCTTTGGAAATGGAGTTTATAAAAGATGTATGCGGCAGACG